ATATTTATATTATATTTCATATTAGCGTAAACTTGAGCAGCTAACAAGAGTATCATTTGTTTTCTAAACAGACCGAATCCCCGAATTTGACTTCAATTTGAGAGCTACTGGTAGCTCTTAAATTGGGGTCAAATTGTGAATGATCGGAATAGTACTTATATAATTATGTAACTTTTAATTTTCACAAAACTATTTACCAGCAGTTCGACTTCATTAACCTTTCTTGATAATTTTCACAATTATACTAATTGTCATCCGAAGCTGTATATGTGGTTGTTTTCAGGCAAAGGAGAGATGATCTTGAGTAGGGTCATTATTGTAGTTGAGGTTGTTGATGAATAAGGGTTCAAAATAAGTTATAGTAGGATGTCCATTTCGAGATTTTCTGTAGTCAGAAGCTCTGTTTGGGTTTTTGTTCATATTTGAACTAAGTTTGACATGAATCTTTCAACTGTTTCTTTATTTGCCAGGTACATGCATATACAGTTGGTTGGATGAGGTAATATTGTGATGACTTGAATATGTGATGTTTTTACGTTTATTTTTGGTAATTCAAAATAATAATAGTAAATGTCGGGAGCAGGAGACCATGGACATATTTATTAATTTGCAATTGAAAAGTTTGAATAAATTTTTATGTAAAATATTTCTCACCAATCATATTACAAACATTATTGTACAAGTTTTACATGTTACATATATTTTTTTAAATCTTATTTGAAGGCGGTTCCCATTTTCTGAAATCAGTCTGATTGAGACCACTTAGTATTATTTTCAAAGGTCAAATACTGAAAAATCCATGATGCAGTCTTCACAGGTGACAATGTTCAAATAGTTCAATAGTTCAATAATTCAAAACAATTTAATTTTTTATCGATAGGTTAAAAACCACAGAGATGGTTGAAAACTTTCTTTTAGAATTTGTGCTTATTTTTAACAGAAAAAAATGGGGTTTATTTCAGAACACTTTATGGTTAAATTTATTTCTAGGTCTATTTTGCAGATAGGAAAACTAACTTATAAACAGAGTGGTGTTGATATTACTGCTGGTAATGATTTAGTTTCACATATCAAACCAGCAGCAAAATCTACTGATAGAGCAGGTACTATGGGCAGCTTAGGTGGATTCGGAGGTCTATTCGACACCAAACTAGCAGGTTATAAAGATCCTCTGCTTGTCTCAGGTACTGACGGTGTCGGTACCAAGTTGAAGGTAAGTTTACTATTCTCAAACATAAACATTTTTTCAATATTATAGGTCTGATTCTTTATATTAAAAGTGTTACATTTTTAGGAGTGACTAATTTTTTGGAAAGAAAGTTTATGGATTTCTACTACTACTCCATCTTGATACAAAAAAATGTGGAAATCTTCTAAAGAAAAGAAGGAAGCAATCAATTTTAAAAGAAGTAACTCTATACGTAGATGTGTAGATCATGCAAAGAAGTAACTTTCAGACACAAACTGGAAGAAAAAGCCCTCCAAAACAGCTCCTCTCATATGAACATTGAATTATAACGAAATAAAAATTCTTTTTTAGATCAAACTTATTCCGTGACATAAAAATCGAAATTTATGAATGAATTTTGTGGTTTTTTTCTTATAATATTATCCAGATTGGCACTGAAGAGCCCTAAGGTAACTGTCTTACGACAAAACATCGATATCTACCAGTCTACCATAACGTATGTTTGGAATACAAACTGAGTAGAGAAAAGTGTTCATATGAAAGTATTTGTTTCAAAAGAATTTTTCTTTCATGTAATTCAATGTTTATATGAAAGTAGCTGTTTCAGGAGGGCTTTTTCTTCCAGTTTGTGTTTGAAAGTTACTTCTTTGCATGATCTACACATCTATGTATAGAGTTACTTCATTTAAAATTGATTGCTTCCCTCCTTTCCTTGGAAGATTCTCACATTTTTTTGTACAAAATGGAGTAGTAGAAAGCCAAAAACGTTCCCAAAAAAAGGACTGATTATATTATTATATTTTTTTATAGATTGCCCAGGAAATGGGAATCCATGATACAGTTGGAATAGATCTAGTTGCAATGTGTGTGAATGATATCCTTGCCCATGGTGCGGAACCTTTATTTTTCCTAGATTATTTCGCATGTGGATATTTGAATGTTGACATCGCAAAGCAGGTAGTAACAGGAGTAGCTGAAGGCTGTAGACGAGCTGGCTGTTCATTGATCGGTAAATTTTGTTGTGGTTTTTATAATATAAACTTCATCTTCAATTTCGTTAAGTCAGAATACAATTTATTTTAGATATACAACACGTGCAATTAAAATTCATATTGCAACTGGATTTTTTTAGGGGGTGAAACAGCAGAGATGCCTGATATGTACCCCCTTGGGGAGTATGATTTAGCAGGTTTTGCGGTTGGGGCAGTGGAAAGAAACCAACTTATGCCACACATTCAGGATATTAAAAGTGGTGACATTGTTATAGGATTACCTTCCAGTGGTATACACAGCAATGGCTTTAGTTTGGTGAGAAAAGTATTGAAGATATCTGGAGCTACTTACAAGACGATTGCCCCATTCAGCAAACATAACAGAACAATTGGTAAGTTCTATTTCTGTTACTTACTTTTATGAGTGTTATGCTCTTTTGTATTTATTTGCTCGGAATGGATGTTGAGATAATACATTTTGCAGGAAATGAACTTCTCACACCAACAAAAATTTATGTGAAAGATGTAATACCAGCTATAAAAACGGGTAAAGTGAAAGCATTCGCCCACATTACTGGAGGTGGTTTGGTAGAAAATATTCCAAGAATTCTACCAGGTGATGTAGCAGTTGAGCTGGATGCATCAAAATGGAATATACCTGACGTTTTTCCTTGGTTAGCGACTGCTGGTGGGGTTAATGAATTTGAAATGTTGAGAACTTTCAACTGTGGAGTGGGAGCTGTAATGATTGTTGAAAATAAAAATCTTGAAGAGATTCTTCGAATGGTTGAGCCATGTGGGGCTTCGGTTATTGGAAGAATAATGAAGAAAGAAGGAGGTAAACTTATCAAAATATTTGAAAAGTCAGTTAGGG